TTCCCATTCATACTACACAAGGGCTGCCTTGTTTCTAACTTGTGGCTCCGGGGGGATGGTAGAGATGGGCCGATGACCACCGTAACCCTTGTGGCTGCGATCCTTTGCTCCCAGGTAGTCGCCAGCCAGTTCCCCGAAGTGAGGTTCTCCATGGTGCACAAAAAGATCAACCTGGCAGAAGACATGCTGGCCTGGGAGCACGAGCGCTTCGCCATCCGCCGCCTGCCGGCTTTCACGGTCTCCCACCTGGAGAGCCATCGCGACGGCCCGCGCAACAGCATCATGGACGTGAGGTCAGCCGCTGGGTGAGAAGGCTGCGCTAAGAGCTGAGGTAGTGCTGGGGGAGTGCGTGTGCGTGCGGGAGTCTTCGAAGAGTGAAGTGGTAGAGCTTGGGCTTCCGAGCCCTTAACTGGCTGCGTTAGCTGCTCTTAAGAGCTACTGTGAGCATGCTGGAGGGACTGTGGTTCAGGGGGAAGAGCCTCTGCTTCTACCAAGCAGAATGTCCCAGGTTCAGTCCCCGGCAATGCTCCCTCTAAGCTGTGGAGTCTTGTGAGCAAAAATTCTACTTTGTGAGCTACCGGCATTAAAGTTGAGAGCGAGCAGTTTGGCTACTGCACAAATTAGTTTGCTCTGGAGCCATCCCTTCCTGAGCTAAGGCAAAAATGTGTGAGCCGGAGGCTAAAAACCTGTGAGCTAGCTCACACTAACTCAGCTTAGAGGGAACACTGGTCCCCGGCATGTCGAGTGGAACGGACCAGGCAGGAGGTGATGGGAAAGGCCTCAGCCTGAGACCCTGGAGAGCCGCTGCCAGTCTGAGTAGACAATCCTGACAGCGATGGACCAAGGCTTTGATTCAGTAGAAGGCAGCTTCACTTGTATTCATGCGTGCATACTCTGGGAACCTGAAAAGAGACTTGCTGGATCACACTCGGGCTAGTATTCTGCAGTCAGGAAGGGCCAAGCAGCTGTCTCTGGAAACCTGCCCAGCTGCATACGTCTGCACTGACAGTCGCTCGACATACGCTGTCCCTTGCACCTCGCTCTTGGCCATATGGTCTCGGAGCACAGAGACGCCACAGAGCCTGGTAGTCTCTTGATATCGCTTGAACGGGTTTGGGGGGTTTTTAATTGCATTTGAGAGCCAGCGTGGTGTCGTGGTTAAGAGTCTCAGACTGGGATCTTCCAGACCCGGGTTTAAATCCCCACTCCGCCGTGGAAGCTCGCTGGGCGACCTTGGGCCAGTCACACGCTCTCAGCCTGATCTACCTCACAGGGCTGCTGTGAGGATGAAATGCAGGAGAGGAGAAGGGCTGGGTCCCCGTCGGGGAAGAAGGTGGGGCACAAAGGAAGGCGAATTTAAAAATAATACTAATTCGGACAGGGTGGTGTACATTGTTTTCTCATTCTCCGTTCCGTCCTCACAAAAACCCTGTGAGATAGATGAGGCCAGGAGAGAAAGAGAAACCCAGTGCCACCCAGGGCTTTTTACAGGGAGCAGGCGTCTGGATCTGTGTCACCAGGCCTGATCCAGCACTCTGATCACGAGGCCAGTGCTAGCTCTCTCTAAAAGAAAGAAATGCAAGCTGGTTGTCATCGCATGTCTTGCAGGGTTGCCACTTTCGGGAAAGTCAGGGAAATTGGCCTGAAGTCAGGGAAATTGTGATTAAAATATATTCAAGCCGTGGATTTTTGACCTACCGCTGCAAGAGCGTGATCTTGTGGCAAGTGGAAGAGAAACAATCGATGAGAAACGAAAAGAGTTACAAAATAAAAAGAGAAAACTTGTAGAAGTGATAGTTTTACATCTTAAATCTTCATTCTTTAAAAACAGACGACTTCTATTCTAATTTCTAACTTGAGTATTACTGCAGTTTCAAAACTCTACATTTCGTAATGTGGCTTCAGAGAAACCATTTTAGATAGACCGTTTATATAATGTTCAGCGTACCTTTAAAACAATAACAAAAATGTAATGTCATTTGTTAGCATTCAGAGTTTACTTGAATTGAAGCTTGTATCTTGGTGTAATTTTTGGTGCACTTGCAAAACAGATGTCGCTGCAGGTAGTGTTGAAAGAAGCTGATATTAAATCTCTCACTTTGACAAATATTTTTGCAGTTGAGACTTGTGTAGTTGTAGAGTGGAACATCTCATTAAGCCTTTCGTTAATGCAACGCGACCTATTCATTTTTTTAACTTGTGGTTATATTTGAATGGTGGTCAGGGAAACTGACAAATGTTGGTCAGGGAAATTCAGGGAAATGAAAAATGAAATTTTTAGTGGCAACCCTGTCTTGTGACTGACTGCAGAAAGGCCTCCCCAGGATCGCCTGAGCTCCCTAGCAGAGGTGCCTCTGTAGCAGCAGGCGTGCCAGGGGTCCGGGGGGGCCAGCAGCACCTCTGCTTCCAGTGTTGTCCCAGAAGGTCTCTGGGGCAAGTGATGCTCTGTCTTCTTGGTGCTTGGGGGGGGGGTCAACAGTGGGAGGGCTTCTAATGTCCTGGCCCCACTGGTGGACCTCCTGATGGCACCTGGTATTTCTGGCCACTGTGTGATACAGAGTGTTGGACTGGATGGGCCTTTGGCCTGATCCAACATTGGCATCTCTTATGTTCTTATGTTCTTAAGGTCCAACTAGTTGGCTGCTGCGCTCTTTGGCCTCTTCCTCCCCCCCCCCCCATGGCCTGGGTCCTGTTTTGTGCAGTGGAGTGCTGGGAAGTCCACCTCCCCCACCCATAATCCAATGTCACCCTTAGCAAATCCCGACTATGGGATGGGCCCACTTGCAGTGATGCTTTCCTTTGTGGGGTGGGGTGGGGGAGGGAGGCTCCTTGTCTGGGAGGAGAAATGTCCCCCGAGTGGAATGGACCCCTGAGCCCGTTCCAATCTGTAGACTTGGGAGGGAAGTGGGAACTTCCCTCTGGGGATGTCGGTCTCCCCTTAACCTGGCCGTGCTCTGCCGGAGAGGCGTCCCACCAAAGAACGGGCGTTCTGACGCAGCTGTCTGTTCCGCAGGGCCCGGGTGGACTCCAGAGTCCTGACACGCAACACCCGGATCGTGGTCGAGGCCCTGACGCGGGTGATCTACAACCTCACGGAAAAGGTCAGGCCTTCCCTCCCCGCTTCTTCCCAGTTGCTCTGGAGCGACTTTGTCCTGGCCCCCACCGGCTCCTCCCCATCACGCCTCTCCTCTCCCTCTTTCACCTGCTGACCTCCAGGTCTTCACAGAGCAGATGGTAAGTGAGCGCCAACTTGTTGACGGGGGCAGGGTGGTGCCCAGGCAGGAGCGCGGGGCGTGTGGCCGAGTGGGCTTCGCCCGGCAGGGCAGGTCAACGTGTCCTCTCTCTGCCCCCCTCTCTCGGTGCTTCCGCAGCAGATCCAGCAGGAGCAGATGGAGTCGGTGATGGACTGGCTCACCAGCCAGCCGAGGGCCGCTCAGCTGATGGACAAGGACGGCACTTTCATCAGCACCCTGGAATACTACATGAGTCGATACTTGAAAGACGTCAAGCAGCACCACGTGAAGGCCGACAAGCGGTGAGTGAGGAGGGAGTTGGACCTCCGGGGTCCAAGTTCAGATCTCCACCGTGGGTCGGCCAGACCGAGATGGGTTAGTCTGCCTGCAGCAGTAGAAAACAGCAAGAGTCCGGTGGCACTTTAAGGACTAACATAATTTGTGGCAGGGTAAGAGCTTTCATGAGTCGCTGCTCAGTTCTTCTGATGCAGCAACTCACGAAAGCTCTTACCCTGCCACCAATTTGGTTAGTCTTTAAGGTGCTACGGGGCTTTTGCTCTTTACTGTTGGGTCAGCCAGTTTCTGTCGCTTAACCTACCCCATGGGGATGTTGCAAGGATAAAAGGGAAGGAGGGGTGAACTGTCGGCTGCTGTCAGCTGCTTAGAGGTAGAAAATGGGCCATTAAGTGTTGTTGCTATTATACAAAAGTGCTGCCAATAGATAGTATTAAAAGAGAGAGAGAGCGCGATCAGGATAGACAGATAGGTGAAAATTGACGATCCTTTTCCTTGTTATGATCCTAATTATTCTCTCCCCCCCCTCCCTTTTCACCTTTTTTGCTTCCTCTTTTTGCCCAAATTGGAGATGGGAATCAGTGTTCCCTCTAAGCTGAGTTAGTGTGAGCTAGCTCACAGTTTTTTAGCCTCCAACTCACACGTTTCTGTCTCGGCTCAGGAAGGATGGGGCTCCAGAGCAAACCAATTTATGCAGTGGCCAAATCACTCTCTCACAACTTTAATGCCAGTAGCTCGCAAAATAGAATCTTTGCTCACGAGACTCCACAGCTTAGAGGGAGCATTGGATGGAGATACTGGATGATAACAGAACGGAGGCCCAGAAACATGCAAAGATCCCATTCCAGCCAGGAAGGGTCACCTTTCCAACCTTTCCCCCTCCGGTTTGGCCTTCTGCCCCCTTGCGAGGTGGGGCTTGGCTTCCTTTAGTCATTTACCTGTTTAGAACATTTATTCCCTCTCCTCTCCATGCACAGAGTCATCTTGAAGCAGCTTCCATACACGGCATAATGTTAGCCTAGCCAGTAAAGTGTAATCCCCTGGTGAGAGGTGCTGCGTCAAAGAAGTATTAAAATCAGCAGATGAAAATGTCTTCAGTAGCTCCATTTAGCAAAAGGGAATGTGGTCCAGTGGAAGCGGGAAGGACCGTGAAACGGGCACCAAGGAGCAGCAGGGGAAGCAATGAACAGTCTAAACTTCGGGGTTTCCAGATGGTTCCATTGAGGGAACGCTGGCTCTGTTGGGCCTCTTCATGCTGTGCATGCTCACGGGGGTGTGGGCGGCCTCGTGCTTCCTTGGGTTGAGATTTTAAGGCTCCTTTGAGCCGCAGGGGAGCCAGGCATTGGGCGTTGGAATGGGCTTGCACAATACAGCCTGTAGCCAGCAGTTCCTGGCAACACGGTCGGTGCAGGCCAGGACTTAGTCCGCAGTGGTATGGCCAGGGCCTCCTTGCCCTTTGCAGTGTTGAGATGTGGGTTTTGGAGGTATCAGGTGTTGCACTTGGCACACGGAAGGACCCCAGTTGAATGTCTTCACGAGACAACTTTGCCTTCTAAGCATTAAAGCTGTGTTTGAAAGTTAAGTGTCTGGAAGTTAAGTGTTTGGGCTCTTCCCCCTCTCACCAAAACAGGGATCCGGAGTTCGTGTTCTATGACCAGCTCAAGCAAGTGATGAATGCGTACAGGTCAGTGATCATGATCTTGGCTTGTCATAGGGCTGATTGACCTGGGGGTGGGGTCTGCTCTCTTGGACTGGGGGGAAGGGCTGTGAATCTGAATGGTGTTGGCCAAATGGAAACAGAGGAAACGGGTCACGCCGTCTCCCCCGGACCAGGCCGAGCCCTGGACATGGCTGCTCCGGAGGTTCGATCAGTTCTCCTCCTCCTTGTGGTGTGAGAGGGGGGTGGGAGGGAGGAGCTCTTCTCCTTTCTGGCTCTCGCAGGCTTTGACCCTCAGCATTTCCGATTGCCTCTATGGGGGCAGCCCGTGTTAAAGAAGCAGGTGTGCTTTGGGGGGCTGTAGGGGTCTGCATGGCATCCTAAATACGTTCTGATCCAAGGATGGAAATTTCCCTTTCTAATGGAGGAGCGTATCCCTCTGAGGAAGTCACGCCCCGGCTGGGAAGGGCCAACTGGTCTACCTGCCATTAGAATCAGTGGTGCAAACCAAAGAGAGAGATCACAGGATGGAAGTTGAGAAGACGCAAACAGCCGTGATGCGTTATGCCAAAAAAGACTCAAAGGACTAGAAATTTCAATTTCCAATATTCACTTTACTGGAAGCAGTTCAAACGCCATCAGCACCAACGAGCCATGCGTGTTATACCTCGTTTCGTACAACTTTATCAAAATGGGTAGCGTTAGTGTTATTGACACGAATGGATCTGATGAGTGTTACTATGGGATATGAATAGAGTGTTTGTCAAATGGATTGATATTATATAGGTATTTCAACGCTACCCATTTTGATAAAGTTGTACGAAACGAGGTATAACACGCATGGCTCGTTGGTGCTGATGGCGTTTGAACTGCTTCCAGTAAAGTGAATATTGGAAATTGAAATTTCTAGTCCTTCGAGACTTTTTTGGCATAACACATTAGAATCAGTGGTGGCAGAACTGGCCCCCGGACACAACAGACCTTGTCTCTGTAGGAAATAAGTGGGGTAGACATGACCTCCCTTGGACGTAGCCGGCCTGGGAAAACAGTTCAGAGGTGCAGACCCCTCTTCAGAGGGGAGCTTGAACTCCATTTCCTGCCCTTAGTTCCCCTCTCTGAGGTAGCAGGGCTGGAGAGCTTGCCCACGAACAGGGGTGCTGTTGCTGTTTCAGGGTCAAGCCTGCCATTTTCGACCTTCTCCTGGCACTCTGCATAGCAGCCTACCTCGGCGTGGCCTACGTCGCAGTCCAGGTGAGTGAATTGGACGTCCCCTGCAGCTTGGTGAGCGATGGGGAAGGGCAAAGAAGATGGCTCGGTGGTGGCAGAGGGCGGGGCGTCAGAGTCCCTGGCACAGATCTCTGCAAGGGGGGCAGCTGGGAACCCAAGAACTGTTAGTAGGAAAGCTCTGAAGGCGTGGGGGTTTGCTGGTCACTGGGTGCCCTCTCTTGGGTTCAATTGCTGTGAGTCACGTTTGCCCTCCTCTCTTGTCTTCTGTCATGGAAGTCAGAGCTTTTGCATCCTGATGGCGGCCAGACAAGCTCATCTTCAGCAGGGCTGCCAGATCGGGAGCCCTCCGGCCATTTTGGGGCTGACTGATAAAGCTCCTTCAGTGTCCGCCCCCAGTGGAGGAGGAACTTCCCTGTGCTTGGTAGGATTTTTGTCTTCGGAAACTGCTGCTACAGCTCTGCTCCTTTTCAGAAGATTTTTTTTTTTTTTGGTCAGGCAGCAAAGTGGACGAACACAAACCCCAGACTTCTCTGACACACACAGAACAAGCTGCGAAGGTGTAGCCAAACAGAAGACCCGCCGGGTCAGAAACACATAGTCCCAGCATACTTTTCTCCATGGTGGCCATGTAGATGCTCGGGAAGACCCAGAAGCAAAGGCCAAAACCTCACTGTATTTTTAGTTGTTGTAGATTTTCCGGGCTCTACGGCCATGGTCCTGCCATTGTATAACACCTCTGAGGATGCCAGTCACAGCTGCTGGCGAAACGTCAGGTACTGCAATGCCAGGACCACGTCCATACAGCCCGGAAAACAACTAATGAACTCTGGCCGTGAAAGCCTTTGACAACGTACCGCACTGTATTGGTTGCCACACAGTAAATAGTATTCCGTGGCCATCTGCCTCTGAATGTGGAGGTTCCATTTAGCCGAAATTTCCTTTTGCTGTACCTCTCACAGGGGCCTGTCTAACCCCACCTTTTTAAGCCACCTGTGGTAAAGGCCATCGCTGTAGCCTGCGGCCAGGAGCTGTACCACAAGTTCATTGCCAGTCTTATGAGGACAGCTTTTTGTGGTTGTCCCGATTCTTCTGTCCATCAACTTCATTGGATGCCCTGAATTCCAGTGTTTTGAGAGCTTTCTGATTCCTGGACAACATAGTCAAAGGCTGAAGGAAAACTTTAAACAGATATCTCTTAATTTCAAGTCTGTTTTATTCTTAAATATTGTATCGGAGAGGAGGGCCAGTTCCGTCTATAGCCAGGATTCAAAGTGTTTCTGAGGCTAAAACAAAGCAGTTAAGCTAGGCCAGTGGAGTCTTTGATGTGAACGATTTGTGTGCCCACCCCTCTCCCATGCCAAACTGCTTTGGACATGCCCATCTGTTTCAAAAGCAGCTTGTCTCACAGTGTATATAGAATCATAGAGTTGGAAGGGACCTCCAGGCCAGGTTCATCTAGTCCAACCCCGTGCATAATGTAGGAAATTCACAAATACCTTCCCCCACCCCTGCTCCATACCCAAAAGATGACAAAAAGCCTCCAGAGATCCCTGGCCAAACTGGCCTGGAGAAAAATCGCTTCCTGACCAATGTTCCCTCTAAGCTGTGGAGTCCTGTGAGCAAAAATTCTACTTTACTAGCTACTGGCACTAAACTTGTGAGCAAGTGATTTGGCTACTGCATAAATTAGTTTGCTCTGGAGCCATCTTTCCTGAGCTAAGAAAAAAATGTGTGAGCTAGAGGCTAAAAAACTGTGAGCTAGCTCACACTAACTCAGCTTAGAGGGAACACTGTTCCTGACTCCAAAATGGCAATCGGCTTTTCCCTGAGCGTGTGAGAAAGGGCCACGAGAACTAAGCACTGAGGCAACCCTTCCTGCCCTCCCTCTAACGATCTGCCTCAGTTCACAGAATCCGCATTGCTGTTAGGTGGCCATCTAGCCTCTGTTTGAAAACCTCCAAAGGAGGAGAGCCCACCACCTCCCAAAGTGGGCGGCTGCTGTCCAAGGAGATGCCCCCTATCCTGTGGGGGTCGCTTGAAATGATTTCCCGCTTCCTTGGATCAGAGTGTTTTTGAGACCTCAGGCAAACGTCCGCCGAAGATGAGCCCTTTTAAAGTTCCCTCAATCGCCACAAGAGCTGTTTAATCTTGCATATTTAAAAAAGGGAAGGTGAGTTGGCTTGGTTGTGCGGCAGAGGGGCTCTTCCTGTTTGGTGTAGTGGTTAAGTGCGCAGACTCTAATCTGGGAGAACCGGGTTTGATTCCCCACTCCTCCACTTGTGGCTGCTAGGTGACCTTGGGCAAGCCGTAGTTCTGATAAGAGCTGTCCTTGAAAAAGAGCCGTTTCTCTCAAGAGCTCTCTCAGCCCCTCGTACCTCACAGGATATCTCTTGTGGGGAGGGGGAGGGAAAAGGAGTTTGTGAGCGGGGTGTAAATCCAATCTCCCCCTCTTCTTCCTCTTATTTCTCCTCTTCCTCTTCTTTGTAAAAAGCAAACACACAAGAGAACCCCTCAGTCCACCAGCATCCCTGCCTTTTTTTTAAAAAAAGAGAGAGAGAGAGAGAGAAAATGAAGCTGCAATATGTCTTTGGCTGCCTTAAAGATCTGTGCGTTTCACTGTGGCCGTACCAAGCATGTTGCTCTCAGCAGTCGCACCCCAGCTGTGTTGGCTACGAACTATGGAATCAGAGCTCAGAACTCCTGCAGGCAAATCCCACCCCCACCCCCCCCGTCAGTCGTGCTTGGCTCTCAGGTCGATCTGAGGTTCGCGCTCATCCCGTGTCTCTCTTTTGCCTTCTAGCATTTTGGCCTCCTTTACAAGCTGGTCCAGAGGCTGTCCCTCAAATCCAAGCAGCAGTGACCGGACCTTCCTCCCTTCAGAGCTGCGCTGTCGGAGGGAGCCCATCGCAACCGTCTTCTCCCGCTTCGGATGCTGCAGCCGCCCACCGGTTCTTGCTCCCCCCCTCCCCCAATCACCACACTGGAACGGGAGAAGAGGAGCAGATACAGAACGCTCCTCTTCGCATTCTGCAAGCCTGCATTTCCCTCCCCACCTCTTTCCCAGGGACTTCCGCAGATAACGTCACCACTCCTCCCGGACTGATCAAGCATGGGGACGCTCTTTCCCCCCCTTGGGAACCTTTCTGTGAACAAGACAGTTCCATATTTGTGAAGCTGCTAAACTAGAAGCGAGTGAACTGTGCCATATGTCCCAGCTCTGGGGGCAGAAGCCTGGGGGACCAGGTTTTGGGGCCTGCCTGTCAGAGGACTTGGAAGGGTGCCGTGGGGGGACATCATGTTGGGTTTTTTTAAAAAGTGCACATATAAATTAAAGGACTACTAAGAGGATTCTTCCTTCAGTATGTTGACTGATTTCCTCTCTTACCTTGTCTGAGCGGTGCTGAGAGTTTCTTCATTGGTTTTGCTCTGTGTGGCGGGGCAGGCAGATCGGACAACAGGTTTCCTTGCAGGCCAGGGGAGGGGAGGGGGAGGGGCACATAGATCTTCTGCAGCACCTGTGTGCTGTTAGGATGCTTTCCTTTTAGGTCGGCTCACTTGGAACAAACAAACAAAAAAACCCCCTCCTTTTCCTGTCTTGTTTCATTGTGCATTTGTAACGCACGGGCCAAAATCCCCCCCCCCCCCAGCAGCAGGAAATCTGGGGGGGAGACAAAACACACAACCCCTGTGGTCCGTTAGTGGGAAACCAAGCGCCATGGCTGTGTTGATTACCTTCTCTCTGGGCTCAGAAGCCTCGACAAGTCGGCTATTGCACAAACATTGCCGATAAGATCACGCAAACACTGCAGGCATCGATCAGCCTTCTCAGGAAGTATCATTCAAAGGGGGAAATGAAGGCCGTGCTATAAGAACGGCAGGGCAGAGCGGGGATCCTACAGAGCCTGACGGTACAGTGGGAAAGGATGTTTCTAAAGCTAATCACTCTTTCAGAACTGGGTGGGAGACCTTCCTACATGAAGGGAAAAGGTGTCAAGGTAATGAACGCGTTTTCGAGTGTTCTGCAGGGGGCCCCGTCAATTTTTAGAACTCTGTTCTGCACAGCCTGTCCAAACTGGCTGATGTTTATAAACTGGTCTGTTTTCACACCTATGCCAAACTCTTGGGAATTCTTTTGAAAGGACTCTCCCTGTCTGCCTGTTTGTTTGGTTGGTTTGGCATGCTCCCCAGCAGTGTTTAAAAAAAAATAATGAAAAAGTTTGATGCTCCTTGGGAAGGGTTCCAGCTTGAAAAACACAGACGGCCGTACTAAATACTTGCCCCAATGTGGGCTTGCAGGTGGCCTGCAAATCCATATGCACGTCAAAGGTACTGAATGCAGCGTTCAATTTCTTCTAAATCTCCGCTTTAAAAGAAAAATCTGTTGTCTCTCAGCAACCCCAGCTGTACCTGGAAGTGTGTAGAAATCCCACACTCCAGAGGTCCAGCTGGCTAAAATTCCCACGGGGAATGGTTTTGTGTCATTAGCAAAAGTAGAAATTATGCAAAACAGGAAAAGGCAGGAACTGCATTTTGAGAGAGGCTCAGAAAAGGTTCCCTTGGGCAGGACCCAGGTACCGGTCCCTGCTTGGCTATGAAGTGAGTTGTGTACCTTTGAGGCAGTTATTCTTTCTCCGACTAGCCTCCCCCACAGGATCGCTGTGTGGATAAAGAGGGGAGAGGCATGCATGCAGCCCTGAACTTGAAGGAAAGGTCGTATAAAACATGCCCTAAATAAATAGCCCAGGCTAACTCAACCTGGTCAGATCTGGGAAGCGAAGCAGGATCAGCCCTGGTTAGTACTTGGATGGGGGACCACCGAGGAAGTCCAGGGTTGCTATGCAGAGGCAGGCCATGGTAAAGCACCTCTGAAAGGCTTTTGGCCTTGACCTGGATGCCCCAGGCTTGTCAGATCTCAGAAGCCAAGCAGGGGCTTAGTGCTTGGATGGGAGACCACCGAGGAAATTCCGGGTTGCTACGCAGAGGCAGGGAATGGTAAAACCACCTCTGAATGTCTCTCGGCCTTGAAAACAACCAGTCCAAACCATCAATTTTCTCCAGGGGAACTGATCCCTATAGATTGGAGATGAACGGTCATTCCACCCCACCCGGAGGCTGGCATCTCAGGAGGGACCTGGACCTCTCCTGAGATTAGACGTGTACCTCCGTCTCTACTGTGCCATAGTCAGAGGTCATTTCGGGGGGGGAACGCGGGGGAACGCAGTTCCCCCGGGTGAGGTGCAGGGGGCAAGGCACATGACGAAGCCCCGTCCCCTGCTTCCCAAAATCTGAGGGAAATCGTGGAATCAAAGCTCCCTGAAAGAACAGAAACGTCTGCCGCTCTAAGAATGCCCACTGGACTCTGTGGCTGTTGGGGGTCGCTTGGCTACCACGGCACTATTGCGAAACATTTCAAGCCTGGATTTCTGGACGGCAAAGCTGTGGCTGCAGGAGTAGACTGGGGGGCTGAAACAGTCCCGGAAAGGCCGCTCCCCCCAGATTATCATGTCCCCTGATGGAGGAGGACTCGCCAAAGACAGGCCCAGGAGCTATTTCTGGAAACTCACTACCAATGCGATGTAGCCCGGCTTGGCGGCAGTGGCTATGGCGCCCTTAGGCCTGGCTCGCGGACAGCAGCAACTGGGACCCGACCTGAGCTGGCAACCCACACACAACTTTGCAGGGAGACAATGACGGGTAGGAAAGGAGGAGGGGAAAGATGAAGATGGGGAAATTGAGATTATCGTACGGTGTTGTGTGTGGAATAGACAGGAGACCCCCAGGGGGACTGTTTGCCTGCCGAAGCTGTAGCTCTTTTTTGGAACTACTTAAGTGGCAAGCTGTGCGTATTTTTAGGCTGAGAGTGCTGTGGCTTGCCGTAGGTCACCCAGCTAGTTTCAAGTGGGGAATTGAACCCAGTTCTCCGGATTAGAGTCTGCTGCTTTTAACCACTAGGTTGGCTGGTGAGTGGGAAGAAGAAAAAAAGAAAAGGGGAGAGGCTGTAACGAGGGCTCTGTGCCTTTTATAACAGTTTTTATTGCATTCTCATAATGCTCTGCTTATTTCTTGAATGTTTTTTATTTTAAAAATTAAATAGGGGTACTGAACAAAGGGGTATATAGGTCATAGAAATGGAAATAATTATGTAGGAATATTTATATTAATCAAGGACATTCATATTATATATTGAAATAAAATATTTTCCAAGATGCTTCATTTCTCAACTCCCCTTTTACAGTTTTAGCAAAGCAACAGGAATAAGAATATTTTGATTTTATTCTAACTATGCACCATATATGTAAAAGCGTATTAACAAAACTAATAACAGTTCCAATATTAAAATTAATTACAAAATCTAAAATTCTGAGCATTAAATGCTCATCATACTTTGCTCTGTAGACCTAGATCATATAAACTATTTTAGGAGGATGACAAACCTATTAGACAAGAAATATTTAATATATACTAAAAATGAGTATTTTCCCCACCTTTCCCCAGTTATTTAGCTGCTTCAAATACTTCAGGTCTTATATAAACATCCCCCCACCGCAACTTGCAAGCCAGTTTGTGGGACTCACTGCCACATGATAAGCATATGGAGCAGAGGTCCATCAGTGGCTATTAGCCACAAGGTATAGATAGGGACTCTGGGGCAAGTGATGCTCTGTCTTCTTGGTGCTTGGGGGGGTCAACAGTGGGAGGGCTTCTAATGTCCTGGCCCCACTGGTGGACCTCCTAATGGCACCTGGTATTTCTGGCCACTGTGTGACACAGAGTGTTGGACTGGATGGGCCTTTGGCCTGATCCAACATTGGCGTCTCTTATGTTCTTATGATGGACAACAATACAATATTTGCAACCAGGGGTCATTTCGTAGAAAAAGAGATGCAGGAGCTCATTTGCATAACTCATTTGCATATGCCACACTCCCTGACAAAGGGCAGGCATGTTTAGAATGCCTTTCTTTCCCTTCCCCAGGTGGTGGTGGGTCTCTGCAGGCTTTCTCTAGCCTGTCCGCCTGGGCAGGCGGGCCAGGAAAGGTGGTGGGAGGGGCCACCCCAAGGCTCCTTACTGCCGAAGTGCTGTTCCAACGCGTTCCGGCAGGAAATGACCCCTGCTTGCAACAATTATTAGACATGTTTTCTTGGAAGTGGGTCCCCACTCCACTGTATGAGATTTATTTTCAATCTACAATTTGAGCTTATCTGCCCCAAATCCCACTGGAAACAGTTGCCAGAGGTGCACCTAAATCTTTCGGATTAGGTTCAAAGCACGCACAGGAGTGCATCCTTGCAGACCAATCCTCTGCATTGTTACTGAGAAGTAAGTGCCATTTTACTCAATGGGTCTTTTCTCATGTAAATGGGCATAAGTATGCAAGTACGGTTTATTGTGATGAAGCCACAGTCCTCTGCACCCCTACTCTGGAGTAAGTTCCATGGTGCAGTGGGATAGATTTTTGAGGAAGCATGCACAGGATCGGGACCACATGGCCGTAGATTTCCGTTAGGAGAAAAACCTATTTTAATTCAGTAGGACTTGCTTCTAAATAAAGGTGTACAGCATTGAGTTGCACAAGAGGTTCATTTGCCGCAGAGCCGCTTGTGATTCGTGACCAGGAAAAATACCTGGCATGGTGGGGCTCTTACATCCAGTGGCAGAAATCAGTTCGCCTTTTCACCTCCACCTCTGGCTGCTGTTAAAGGCACAGCTACGGGGCGGCCTTCAGATGGCAGGGCAAATCTGGGCCAGATCGTGGGGTGTCAGCCAGTCTTGGGTTACAGATGTGACCTGTTTCTGATAAGGAGAAGAACATTAACAGCTACTCTGCAATCTTCAGGAGGCGGTTTTGGCTAACTGCTAGGGTTGCCAACTCCAGGTAGGGAAATTCCTGGATATTTAGGGGTGGGGTCTGGATGAGGCAGGGTCTGGGGCCACAAAAGGTCAAAGACTCCACCCTCCTCCTTCAGGGGAACTGATCTTGGTCATCTGGAGATCAGTTATTATTTGGGGAGATCTCCTGGCTCCACCTGCAGGCTGGTAACCCTACCAAGTGCTTTGAGTAGCCAGGACTGTTGGTCTGACCCCAGTGGGCAATTCATACTACATAAAAGGATAAATAAATGCCCAAACAGTCTATTTGTCAGCTTCCCTAGTTGCAGTGTCCCCAAAGCGGTTGCCGGCAAAGTCCTCCAGCCTGTCTAAACCGCTCCCTGGGGAGGCAGCAGATACACATCCTAAAGAAATAAACGTTCTAAATAAACTTGCACGGGATGGACATTAAGCTCTCTGCCAGCATAATGCACAGATGTGGAGATTCTCCAGTTTATCGAAAGATATTCCTCCAAGCTTCCCATTCATGTGACTGAGCAGGATCTAGTCCATAAACAAGTTTGTAAAATGCCCTGTCCCTTTAGCAGAAACCTGTGGGAATGGGCGGCTGAAACGAACATCTCATTAAACCTTAGTTAAAGGGACAAGGGAGGTACGCAGCACAGCCGATCGCCCCACCTCCAAGAAAAGGATGCTGCAAGGCCGCCTCCATGCTTGAGAGGAGCCGGATGGAGCATAATGGCAGAGCCAATTTGGTGTAGTGGTTAAATGCGTGCACCGGGTTTGATTCCCCACTCCTCCACTTGCAGCTGCTGGATGACCTTGGGCAAGCCGTAGTTCTGTCAGAGCTGTTCTCTCGAGGGCAGTTCTCTCAGAGCTCTCTCAGCCCCACCTACCTCACAGGGTGTCTGCTGTGGGGAGGGGAAGGAGTTTGTAAGCCGCTCTGAGACTCCGAGTGAAGGGTGGGGTACAAATCCAATCTCTTCTTCTTCCGTTAATTACTCTCAGCATTCCACATTTAAGAAGGGCACCTCTGTCCATTGGTCTCCAGTTCTGTTATATTCATTTCCTTCCCTATGTCCCCCCATCCAATTAAACCCAAACAAATGGTGGCCATATAAACTAAGCTTGTCATTCCAGTTTGGTCCTTGAATCGATTAAATGCCTTTATTACACTCGATGCTAATTTGTTGCTCACCCTCTACTTATTTGTATGGACTGGCAACTTCCATTTCACTGTATCTGAAGAAGTGTGTGTACACACAAAAGCTTAATACCTTGAATAAAACTTTGTTGGTCACAAAGGTGCCCACCGGACTCAGATTTCGTTCTGCCGCTCCAGACCAACATGGTGACTCCACCTGAATCTTTCTCCAGGCCTGTTAGTAACCCTATCTGTGAAATTTTGTGCTAGGATAAAAATGATTTGATCTTGAAGATTCCTGCTTGGTTTTTGCTACTGCAGACGGACCCAGCTGACCTTCTAGAGCGGACAGGTGATCTAGTTGAAGTGGCTCTGGAGGCTGCCCTACAAAGTGATGAGTTAACTCACCTGGACCTGTTGGGTGCTGGCTGGGATGCTGGGAGGCAGGCTGGCCCAGGAGGGAGGATATAAAGATAGGGAAGGGCAGAGGTGAGGGCCAGCTGGCTTTAGTTGTGTTTGTAGGTAAGGAAGAGGCTGTTTAAGGGTAGACTGGGGTCCCCCTTCTTCTTTGTGAGGCTGGTATTTCAGGTGCTAAGCATGAAGAGCCTGCTTTTTGCTACAGGCAGTCCTAAAGCAGTTGCTTTTTAACAGCCTCTGTGATGGGGGATTTTGTCTTGCAGCATTCAAGCGATGCCTGGGCCCCTAAAGGTGAGGGGGAGGCTGCCTCCTATGGATAGTACCTGGGGCCCTTTCAACAACCCAACCGACCCTTCCCTTAAGATTTGCTTTGAACGGGGCTGTGTCTTAGAGCAGGTAGTAGTTGGTGCCTTTGGGCATGGGCGGAGTGTTGTTTTTTTCTTCACCACTTGAGTCTGTCGGGTTGCGATGCCTGGGCCCCTTAAGCTGTCTCCTATGGATAGTACCTGGGGCCCTTTTAACAACCCAACTGACCCGTCCCTTAAGATTTGCTTTGAACGGGGCTGTGTCTTAGAGCAGGTAGTAGTTGGTGCCTTTGGGCATGGGCGGAGTGTTGTTTTTTTCTTCACCACTTGAGTCTGTCGGGTTGCTAGGTCTCCTCTGGCCACTGGTGAGGAATGGGAAGGAACAGTTGCCAGCTCCAGGTTGGGAAATTCCTGGAGATTTGGGGATGGAACCCTGGGAAGACGGGGACCTCAGTGGAGTATAACGCCATAGAGTCCACCCTCCCAAGCATCCATTTTCTCCCTTGGGCCTGATCTCTGTAGTTTGGAGATAAGCTTTAATTCCAGGGGATCCCCAGGCCCCACCTGGAGGCTGGCATCCCTATGTTGACTGGGGAGGTGGAGTAAGGCAACTCTGAGTCAAGCAGACCCTCTTTGCTGTTCTTGGTGGTGTCTTTATTAGCTACACTGGTGCAGGGCTGAACTGTTAGCTATGAAGAGGTTCTTGCTCACCTGGACCTGTTGGATTTTTTTGGTGAATTTGTGTGTGTGCGCTTGCAAGTCTGGAAGTCATGGTGACTTCTGGCGTCCCCTAGTGGGGCTTGGATATCTCAAAGAGGCGGCTTGGTATTACCTGCCTCCAGGGCTATTTTTGGGCAGGAACGCACAGGAACGGAGTTTCGGCTGGCTCCCAAGTTGGCCACACCCAGCAGGAACTCATTAGCATAATAAGCCACACCCAACAGCAGAAACTCATTAGGATTGGCTACATTAGGGGTGTATGGCCTAATATGCAAAGGGGTTCCTGCTACAAAAAAAGCCCTGGGTTTTGACAACAAACAAGGTAAACAGAATAAGAAGCAAAAGGTGGGTGTGGCTGGATGCCCACACTTCTGGTAACATGGGGGTGTGGCCTAATATGTTAATGTGCTGTCATGGGTGTGGCCTAATAGGCTAATGAGTTTCTGCTGTTGGGTGTGGCCTATTATGCTAATGGGTTCCTGCTGGGCTTTTTCTACAAAAAGAGCCCTGCCTGCCTCTGCGTCCTGGCCCTGGTATTCCTTGGAGGTCTCCCTTCCAAAGTACTTGCCAGAGTCGGCCCTCCTTAGAGACCTCCTAGATCTGATGAGACTGGGCTTGCCTGGGCTATCCAGGTCAAGGCATAAAACCCCCATTTTGACGTTCTCGAATCTGAGCTTATTCCGCAGCAAATGGCTTGGGGGGGGGGATAGGACTTTTTTTGCAGTAATCTTGATACAGTTTGTCGTCGTGTATAAAACGGTAAATATTGCTTGATGTCTATGTTGGACCAAATGTTAAGAGGCTCGCTTGTGCAGAAGGAGGCCTGCCCTTGGGAAGAGGATTTTGGTTTTCGGCCTTAAAATCTTAGCTGTACCAAATGCAGACGGTACTTGAAAAATCCATGTAGATTGGTACACTGAGGGGAAAAGGTTGTGTGGTAAGGTCGCCAATCTCCCAGTGGAAGCTGGAGCTCTCCTGCAGTTACACCAGGTCTCAAGAGATCGGTTCCCCTGGAGAAAAATGGCTGCTCTGGATCGTGGCTCTATAGCATTATACCCTGCTGGGCTCCCTCCTCCAAATCTCCAGGAATTTCCCAGGCTGGAGCTGGCAACCCTAGGGCCTTCTATGGTTGCTTGGTGTTTAGAAGGACTTGCGTCTGACTGAGAGCTGCCTTTAGGTAGGCTAAAGCCCCCAGTATCTCTTTAGTGATGAAGGGAGGTTTTCCAGTTGAATTTCTGCTTGTTCTGGAAGGTGCTGCCAGGGATTTATGGTGGGCCTGACCTTCATGTCTCTCTGACGGCAGCTCTTCGATATCTGGAAATCTCCTGTAGGATTGGCTGAGCTGCTGTGATGTCACAGAGTTGGCGGTTTGTAGCAGCTCTGAAACAGTGGAAAGAGCATTACCGAAGTAAGGGATAAGGGAAGGAGATGGAGGATAGAGACTATCGTAACAGACCTCATGGCACCACATCTAGGATCTGCGTCCTCTGCATCCCCTTTTAGAGAAACCTGTTTTTTAAAAGATGCCTTAAGGACCACGTTTCTTTTTCAGAATGCCTAAGTCAAAGGAGCGTGAGGAAGCCACCTCAGAAGACAGTGGATCTGAAGAGGAGATTGAAAATGGCAAGGTATGACTTTGGGGGCGAAATATTCTAACCTGCCTTCCCATGGCAGACACTCAAGGTGGCAACTGAAATTCAAGTAAAGTTAATAACAGAATCAAAATAAAACTCAGTACTGCAAAACAAAGGACCAGTGGCGTATAGGAGAAGACTTGCTAGAATAAGGCCTTTTGGCTCCTGGGAGAGGTGTGGTGATGAATGCACCAAACAAGGTGTTTTGTGGAGGGCCGCCACAGGTAAGGCCCTGTCTGCCCTGCTGAGCTTTCTTCAGTAGGTATTCATTGGGTTTCGTAGCTAAGAGTGGCTGAGAAGCCCCCAATTCTGCCCTAAGCATTCTAGGCAGCCTCAGCCAAGCCCTTCTCTCTCTCTCTTTCTCTCTCTTTCTCTCTCTTTCTCTCTCTTTCTCTCTCTTTCTCTCTCTTTCTCTCTCTTTCTCTCTCTTTCTCTCTCTCTCTCTCTCTCTCTCTCTCTCTCTCTCTCTATACCACTCTCTCTCTCTCTCTCTTTCTCTCTCTTTCTCTCTCTTTCTCTCTCTTTCTCTCTCTCTCTCTCTCTCTCTCTCTCTTTCTCTCTCTCTTTCTCTCTCTCTTTCTCTCTCTCTTTCTCTCTCTCTCTCTCTTTCTCTCTCTCTCTCTCTCTCTCTCTCTCTCCTCCTCCTCCTTCTCCACCCCCAGTTGTATGAGCATAAGAATAGTTTTTATTTATTTACTTCATATTGCATATCTTGTGAGTTTGTTGATTTTTAAGGATTTTAACAAGATACTATATGTTCTCTGAACCAACCAACGCTATGAGCCCTAAGTTGAAAGGCGGCAGCGATATATTTTGTTCTGGTGATTCTCCCGTGTTAAACTTAGCGCGTTGTAAGGCGCCTTAAAGCCCCGGCCTGGAGGGCCCAGGCTAGACCCGTCTCGCCTGACCTCGGAAGCTAAGCAGGGTCGGCCCCGGTTAGAACTTGGACAGGAGGCCACGAAGGAAGTCCAAGGTTGCTTTGCCGAGGCAGGCAATGGCAGAACACCTCTGAAGGGTCTCTTGCCTGGAAGATCCCTGTGAGGGGTCGCCATAAGTCAGCTGCAACTTGGGTTTCCACCTCCGGGCTTGGAAATATGTGGAGATTTTGGGGGTGGAGCCTGAGCAGGGTTTGGTTTGGGGAGGGGAGGGGCCTCGTTGGGGGTAAACGCCATACAGTCCGCCTTCCAAAGTGGTCATTTTCTCCAGAGAGGCTGACCACTGTTGCCTGGAGATCAGTTGTCGTCAGTGTTCCCTCTAAGCTGAGTTAGTGTGAGCTAGCTTACAGTTTTTTAGCCTCCGGCTCACACATTTTTTTGTCTTTGCTCAGGAAGGATGGCTCCAGAGCACACTCATTGATGCAGTGGCCAAATCTCTTGCTCAAAACTTTCATGACAGTAGCTCACAAAGGAGAATTTTTGCTCACAAGACTCCACAGCTTAGAGGGAACATTGGTTGTAGTCCCAGGAGATCTCCAGCCACCACCTGGAGGCTGAAGAACCCCAAAAACAACATCCCTGACGAAAATAACGACGAGCAGTGTTCCCTCTAAGCGGAGTTAGTGTGAGCTAGCTCACCATTTTTTAGCCTCCGGCTCACACATTTTTGTCTCAGCTCAGGAAGGATGGCTCTAGAGGAAACTAATTTATGTAGTAGCCAAATCGCTTGCTCACAACTTTAATGCCAGTAGCTCACAAAGTAGGATTTTTGCTCACAATACTCCACGGCTTAGAGGGAACATTGACAAAGAGACAAGAGTCAATAAAGATAAGCTGCAAAAACGTTTACTGTAGCCATTCTGTAGAAAATTCTCTTCTATAATCTCTCACACGCAACGAATACTGCGCAGTGCAAACAATTCGTTTCACAATATTTGCCTTATCTGAGCGTGCAGCAATCCCAGTTCTTATCAATTACTACTTATCAGCTCTTGAAGGAAACATTCCATGTTCACTCTCTAATAACAGAACCTGGAATGCTTCTTTGAAGAGCTGATAAGTAGTAATTGATAAGAACTGGGATTGCTGCACGCTCAGATAAGGCAAATATTGTGAAACGAATTGTTTGCACTGCGCGGTATTAGCTAGCATGTGAGAGATTATAGAAGAGAATTTTCTACAGAAATTACTACAGTAAACGTTTTTGCAACTCACCTTTATTGACTCTTCGTTATTTTTGTCACGGATGTTGTTTCTGGAATTCCACTTCCTCCCGTGAGCTCTCATTTTTGGCTTCTACCCCCTGGAGGCTGCCAACCCTAGCTGCAGCTTTATGGCCATCAGTAAAACAACTAAAGATCGCTGCCTCGAGTGGCCATCTTGGCAGACAGGCAAGGGTGTACATACTCCAAATAATAATGGCCGGGAGGCTTCTTAATGTGCTCAGTGCTCAATGTGCTGCCCTTTCCCCCAAAACCTTCCTGTCCTTGGCTCGTCAGGGTCTCCCAGAGAGTCAGCTGGAAACAGGTCTAGAGAACCTCTTTGGACCAATTCAGCCTGGCTCTTGCTCTGACTGGCATGCTGAATTTGCGAGAAAACTTTCACTGCCGGGGCTAAAAGGACCCCAGTGCCAGGAGGCAACATTAGGGGAAGGCCTTTGTCTAGGGTTGCCTAGCCTGGCGGGGGAGGTAGAGTTGCCAGATCCAGGTTAGGGAAATTCCTGGAGATTTGGGGGGTGGCACCTGGGGGGGGACAGAGACCTTAGCTGGGTGAGATACCCTACAGTCTACCCTCCAAAGCATCTGTTTCCTCCAGGGGGACTGATCTCTGTAGTCTGGAGATGAGCTGTAATTCCTGGGGGATTCCCAGGTCTCCCCTGGAGGCTGGCATCCCTACCTTGGCCTCTGTGTCCTGCTGTTGGACCTCCAGAGGAACTGGTTGGTGACTATGTGAGATAAGATGTGGGACTCTACGGATCACTGGTCTGACCCAGCGGGGCTGCTCTTATGTGAACACATAAGAGACTTCTTGGAGACGTCTACCCTCGTGCTTGTGTTGTAAAACAGTATTTGGGGTGGCCTTCAGCAAAATTATTATTAAAAAAAAAAAAAACCCTAGCGCAAAAGGTTGCAATTGCAGAAGCAGCAGCGGCAGAATGGAATTGGGAGTCCAGCGGCACCTTTAGTACCAACAAAGTTCTGAGTATTTTGGGGTATATGCTTTTGTGTGCACACCAATGTTCCCTCTAAGCTGTGGAGTCTTGTGAGCAAAAATTCTACTTTGTGAGCTACTGGCATTAAAGTTGTGAGCGAGCAATTTGGCTGCTGCATTAATTAGTTTGCTCTGGGGCCATCCTTCCTGAGCTAAGAGAAAAATGTGTGAGCCGGAGGCTAAAAAACTGTGAGCTGGCTCACACTAACTCAGCTTAGAGGGAACACTGGTGCACACGCAATTCCCCGGAAGCAGAAGAAACAATCATCCAAACAAGCGATGCATATCAGGAGTTTCCCATCTTGGTTTTGCGCAACAGAAAATCCAGGGCTGGGCAGGAATGTGAACTTGTGGATTTCCCCACGCAACCAGCCGAGCGGAGGGGGCCTTTGTGCTGTCCTGGGGCCCAGGGGCCCCCTAATTGGCTGTGGGCTGTATCCTGAACCTTCTCCTCAGTCGAGACCCAGTCCATGCTGATGGGTATTGCCTTGGCAAGCTGAAGGGAAGGCTTATCTGAGTGTGGCTTGATCTGGTGAGTCCGCCAGGGCTCTCTTCATAAGAACATAAGAGACGCCAATGTTGGATCAGGCCAAAGGCCCATCCAGTCCAACACTCTGTCACACAGTGGCCAAAAATACCAGGTGCCATCAGGAGGTCCACCAGTGGGGCCAGGACACTAGAAGCCCTCCCACTGTTGAACCCCCCAGCACCAAGAAGACAGAGCATCCCTTGCCCCAGAGCCCCTATCTATACCTTGTTGCTAATAGCCACTGATGGACCTCTGCTCCATATCTATATATCTAATAGCCAAGTGGCCAGGTGAGTGCGGATCGCTAAATCTGCGCTCCGGGGCCACCTGGGGGGCAGGGGGAGGTTTGTGCACTCTTGGGGCAGTCCCCAGGGGTGCACAAAAATCACAAAACTAAAAAAAATATAT